AGATATTTGAAAAAAATATATTTTGTGTATATTTTATTCAAATTTTGTGCTTTATCCATAGGACCTGTTTTTCCCTATTCTCAAAAATCACTGATTTATTAGCTAACCTGCCCACAGTTTACTGACGCTAACAGTGGCTAAGCTAACGTAGCTTTGGGAATCACTTGAACACTTTTTCTGTTTGAAGCTGAAACCTGGAACTGGGAATAAAGCCATGCCCAGTTTAACAGAGCTGATGGTTTTAGCTGAGCAACAGAAAACCAGTGGCGCTTGCTAGCTGCTGTTACCAGCTAAATGCTACTAAGCTAGCACACCACTACTATATTCCCTAGTAAACACAACATAGCTGTCAGCATGGATGCTAACAGATGTTGACTTTACCATGTGTGTCATGGATTTAATAACTGGTTTATTATTTTGAATTTCACTTTTTAAGCTGCTGTGGCAGCCATATTGGATTTATTTAAAGTTTAGTTATTTTTCTAATGTGGATTAACAAGATCAAATAAAACCATCCAGATATCAGCTGCAATAAAATGTTTTGATGTTTACTTTTAAGTCATAATGATATGAAACATAACATGTTAGTAATGACAGATTTGGGTCTGCCAGCATAAATAAACCCACACATGCAAAACATTCATCAGTAATAATCAGTAATGATGCATTTATTGATTGGTGTTTGGGGAATGAAGCATGCTAACACCTTTAGCATGAAGCCCGTTCAGGTTAGTAAAAAGAGTAAATCCCAAGTTTTTTATTTGAACATATTTTTCTTCTAAACAACCAAAGAAAAATAATTATCCAGTAATAACATTTTAAATGTAACACCAGAAGGTCAGACTGAAAATGGTCATCATGTTAGAAAGCAGCTCCGGGTAAACAGGAAACCATTTCTCCTCTAGTTTATGATGCACATTAAACACAGTAAAGATTTCAGCACATATCAAAGGATTGTTTTAATTTATTTGGTTTTACTTTTCTGTCCTGTCACAAATTAATGAAAATTATTTTAAATCCACTTCTGGTAAAGGAATGAATAATTTAGTTTTTTCTCATCATGCAGTAGTAATATTTCAGTAATATTTCAGTAATATTTCAGTCTGATGCAGAAACTTGCCACCCAGGATGAACATGAAGGTTTCAGGAACAGAATAAATCAATAACTGCTCCTGAAGAGGCCAGGATTAGTGAAGGAGGTTAAATGAAGTGATTATTTCCCAAATGCACTTAAAATCCACTGTACCTGTTACCTGTCCTGTTGGAGGCAGACAGCAGACACACATCATCATTATCTGCTTTATTACAGTCATATTCAATTAGACAGCACCGTTTGAAAATAATAACCTTCAAGCCCACGTTTCTGTTTGTAAAAATAATTTTTCATTGGTGTTTATTCTAACTTTAAATGTCGAGTTTCCATCAGCTGTAACTAAAGTAAAGTCTTTCAAACATCCACATAATGGATTTAACTTGATGATAAAGTTCCTGAAATAAATGAACTTTCCAATAATATTTTAATTTATTGAGTATGTTTGTGTTCAGGCTGTTGATGAAGAACCGGAGGAAGAGGAAGAGGAAGGTTATTATAGTTCACTAAAACTAACAAAATAATAAAAACTGAATTTGAGAAAACATTTGCGAACTGAAATAACCGTGTACACAATTAACTTCAACATACTGAGACTATGAATATAATATCTTTGGTTTCTGTGTCGGTAAATTATGGCTCCATTTATTCACTTATTCTCCAACAACAGTCAGTTCAATAACTGAACTTATTTTTTTAAATAGTTTCTTCTTTAGATTATTCATTACCCAGTCGATGTTCACATAACCACAAAACTAACTGAACAAAGTAAAACTAACTTATAAAACTATTACAACCCAGCTTCTGGCCGGGACAAACCATAAAGTTTGTTTAAAAGAAAAAAATATTGAAACTCCAAAACTTTGAATATGAAAAGTTGTCTTTTTTCTGTTTCAAAGTTTTTCAGTTTTAAAATAATTTTTCAGCTTCAAATCTTTATTTTCAGTTTAGATGGAGGAAGTGTGTAAACGGGGACGATGATGAGGAGGAGATGAAGGCTGGAGGTCAGTTTTGTCTGATTTGACTCTTTTTTCTAACAAAACACCAAATTTATTTGAAAATTTAACTGAAATATGCTCCGAGTAATTTTCCTTCTCTGGACCTGAACTTCCTGCATCAGGCGCCGTCTGCCACCAACAGAGACCCTGACTGCTACTGCTGGATTTTAGCACCGCAATCAGCTGCTGGTCTTCCAGAGTGGCCTACTTAAAGTACGCTGCTTCCAGTGGGCTTCACACTGATCCAGTTAACGGCACAGAAGCGAGAGCCAGAGGAGGAAACGTTCTGGGTTGGAGTCGGTTTTGGTTCTGGAGGAGAGCGTGGAGGCGTACCTGTTGAGCGACGCCACCAGAGCTTTGACTGCCTTCAGCTCCGGATCCACAACTTCCTGCAGGACGCAGATATCACAGCGGGACACGATCTGCAGAGGAGGCGACTCGGGTCAAACAGGAGGAGGACAAACTCAGAAAAACAGGAGAAGAAGAAACTTAAAGAAAAACAGGAGAAATGTTTGTAAATAAAAAAGATTCAACTTTTATTTGATTTTTCAAGTTTTCACTATGTGTGTGTGTGTGTCTGTGTGTCTGCGTGTGTGTGAGTGTGTGTGTGTGTGTGTGTCAGTGTGTGTGTCAGTGTGTGTGTGTGTGTGTGTCTGTGTGTGTGTGTGTGTGTGTCTGTGTGTGTGTGTGTGTGTCAGTGTGTGTGTGTCAGTGTGTGTGTGTGTGTGTGTGTGTGTGTGTGTGTGTGTGTGTGTGTGTGTCCTGCCTTGGTCAGAGTGTGCATCACTCTGTAATCTGCTGCCTTCGTCGTGTTGAATCTCTGGATGTTGTAGGAACAGATCCTCAGTCCTGCTGCTCCTCCGATCATCAGGCTGCAGAACGAAAGCAGGAGGCAACCAACGCTGGAAGAGCGCCTCCTCATGGCTGGATCTGAGAAAACAGCAACGACACAGCTGATTTTGGAACAATGTTTCCTCCAGTTTGGATTCAATCAGATCCGTTTTCCTCTTGGGAATAATCTTCCTCTCTGGAGGATGATGGGCCAGTTTAGAGCTGACCTTTGACCTTTCCCCAGTTGCTCCTCTGGGGTCACTGCTGAAGTCTTTCCACCCGGTCGTTGTGCTGACCTGCTGTTTTAGATGTGCTCTGCTTGATGACGATCAGCTACTCAGTGACACAGAGCTGCTGGTCTTAATCAGGCGCAAACAGCAGGGTGTACTTACTTTTTCCATCTGTTGTGTTTTTTAGAGGCACAACAGGCTAAAGACAAAATCGTTTTAGTTTAATTAAGCTCAGAAAAATCAAACATCAGACCTGAAACAAGGTGTGTGAGGAGGAGTAATAAAGTATCATAACTTCAACATGTTTTTACTGAACTAAGAGTAAAAAAGTAAAAAGTCGAGTAATGAGTGACTGAGCAAATCATCAATCATTCAATATTAGAAATCACATCATCAGACAACATATAAAGTTAAGTTATTTTGGTATTTTAAGAACCAAAATGACAAAAATTCACAAAACAAAAACTAATAAAATCAGCTCAAATAAAATGTTTCCAGGTCAGTTTCAGTCTGGAGGGTTTTGGTTCAAACATGTTTGTTTTTCATTCAGGGGAAGAAAATCCACAAATTCAGAGACACTTCATAATAAAATTACTCAAAAACAAAAATACTCCTAAAAGTGAATTTTTTTCAAAAAGTTACTCAAGTGTAATTGAGTAAAAGTTCCTAGTTTCTGGGTTTGTGTTTTCAGCCTACAGTTAGATGTGATGCAACGTTCAGAAAGTATTTCCTCAGAATCAGAGACAAAATGTTCCTACGACGACAAGCGGCGAGGCGTCCTGCATCAGTTCGGATCTTTTCTCTTCGACCAGAGAAACAAAAATCTCTAAGGAGAAACAGGCCAGCACGGCACTGAGCTGAGAAACATTAACTCTGCTTTCCTTCACTTATTAACTCAGAAAGCTGCAGCGACGTGCGACAGCAGCTCTGCTCAGACTGGAGTGACTGCAGGCAGAAATAAAAACCTGTTCAGCAACGTCACATTTCTGCCTGATTCACGAAGCTGGACTCCAGATAAACCATCTGAACCCAAAGCTACCGAAACAGTGAGGCTGTTTGCTCACATTCAGGCTGAATGAAACCGTCTCCTGCCATAAAAACGTTTCATTAATGAGTCAGAAACCAGAAACTCCAACACAAGATTTCATCCAGAAACATAAAACCAAGAAGATCTTAACGTCGCTACGGGTCGATCGTGGCTGCTCATCTGACCCTGGGGCGTTTAAAGGGCCAGAGTTACGCTTCCATTTTATAGCACAACCAACTAACTATGACATAAAAATGATGTTTATATCCAACATGACTTAAAAAACATTTTACTTCCTGATTTAACATCTTGAAATTGGGCCTCTGTCTCTTTAAGAAGCTCCTGCTCTTTCTGAAGCTCCGCCTCCAGGAAGTCATCCAACATGGCTCCTCCATTAACCCTTTAACGTTTCTACCAGCGTTGCTCTGAGCAGCAGCTCAGCTGCTGTTTGCTAATTGCTGCTGGCTAGTCTGAAGGAGCTGAGAGGGGCAGGAGCTGCGGCTCGAAGGCGGGGCTAGGTCCACCCAGGTGTTTAACAGCTGACTGGTTGCCATGGAGACTACAGGATTGCATGAAAGAACCGAGGCAATGATCTTTAATTTTGTAAATAACATTTCAGACTCAACCTGAAGATATTTTAAATATCCAAAAATGATAAAACAGAAAAATAAACCCCCCCTTGAAAAAAAAGGATAATGAAGCCTGTAAACATTTTAGAGCATTTCAATTGATTAATTTAGCAATAAATTGATTAATTGATCAGTAATTACTCTTCTCTAAATTAAAAAATGAACAGCTCAGGTCTGGAATCATGTTGAACATAAAGTCGGTCTGGTGGATGAACTGCTCCTCCAGGGGGCGCCGTCTCAGGTCCACACAGGAACGGATCAGAACCAAACATCATATTACAGAAAACTTTCCAGGAAACTGAGAGTTCCTTTAAATCAGGAAAACGCTCATGTTCAGAGGCAGAACCGTAATCAATGGGACATTGATTAGTTGATCAGAATTGATGATTCTGGTTTCCTGTTGACTCTACGATGTTTTCACGTGTTGCTGAAATGACCCGACCGATTGACCGACTGATCTCTCTAGTATATTTTAGTATTGGTCCCTGAGACAAGATGAAAACCCAGAGAGAAGACAAGCAGACATGTTTGGTGAAATGATTGGTCGCCCTGTTAGACCTGTGGAGGATTGACCAATCAGGCGACGGCGCCATCTTGGATGCAGAAGAAGAAGCAGAGCTGGATGTCAGTTTCTCCTTTATGCACCATTTTACAGCAGCAGCAGAGCAGAAGCTGGAGTTTCTCCATCAGGTTTCGGGCTTGTTGATCTCCGTCTGCCCCTCCCAGCCGCAACCAGCCGGCAGAACCGGTGGAGCAACTTGTATTCAGGGCAACCCTCTGCAGAGCAACACCTCTGACCGACCGAGAACCGCCGGCTCTGATCCAACACACACTTTTATTGGTACAACCACTGGGAAGCTAATTTTAGACGTGTGATTCAGAGTTTAATGGGTTTTTGGTGTCATTAGAACTGTAAGCTAATTGTTTTAATGTTCTTTTTGGTGTTTTTAGCACTTCCTGCCACAGCAGGGTTTGCTAACATGATGACATCACTTCTCATTATTCTGAAATAAAATGAGCTGCTGTGACTCCAGAGCATGAAAACATGACAGAGTTTGTGTCTGTAATTAAACCATGAGCCGGTTATGGATCAGTGTCTGAGTGAGTCCAGGATTTCTCCCCAGATTCCTGGGAGCCGTGAGGAGAAGCTGCTCTCCATGCTGGTACTGGGCTCTCTGACGCTTCTCTGCTGTTTTCCTCTCGTAGCCTGCTGAGTCAGCATGTTGAGGTTTCACTGTGGTCATGTGATCCCCCTCCCACCCTGCACTGATTCATTCTCAGGTGAGACACACCTGGACAGCTGGAGCCGCCCAGGAAAACATCAAACCTCCATTTCTGGAGTCTGGAAACAGTTTCCAGAAAATCCCTTTATCTCCAGACGATAAGAACCTGCAGCTTTGTGCTCAGTGTCTGAGCCGGATGAAGGAGGCTCCACTGCAGCCCCTCACCGTTTTAACTTCAAAATGTTTCACAGTCAAAACGACATCAGGACACGGATTTGCTCCAAACTATTCATAATTCACTTTTTCTTTTATGACATTTTAAGAGTTTGATTAAAATTCACAACAAATGGATGGAAACATAGATACTGAGTTTCCTGGTCTTTATTCTGGGTTGATTTAAATGTGTAATTAAATTTCCGCCGATATGTGAAACCATCTGATCTGCCTCCTGTTCTGACTGGAAGCTCCGCCCATCAGGCGACGTCTAAAAACTTTCACTTAGCAACTTGGAGACACATTTAGCAACTTTTCAGAAAGAATAACTGTCTGCTGATATTAAAAATATGATTGGTCTGAAAGCTGCAGTCGGTGCTCCGCTGTAGTTTGAAGAGCTGAGAATGTCAATTGCCGGGTTTGAGACACGTGACCCGGATGTCGCGCGAAACTCTGATGTAGGTCCCAGGCACGTGCAGAGCCTGGGACCTAGAATCTAGAAACTAGAATCTTTTTTTTTGTTTTGTTTTCTGATGTCAGAACTCTTTGGTTTTCACCCTCACACAGCTGGATTCAGCGTTCCAGACAATATTTACAATATTTATTCCCGAAACCCGGGAATAAGGATTTTTTTGATTTTTCTGAACGAAGTGAAGCTAAGGCTCAGTTTAGCAGCCAACATGACGGAAGGACTGGAGCGGTTAAAGAGGAAACGGTCGACTATCCGAACAGCAACGACGAAGCTGTTAACTCGACTAGAGGATGAGGTGGGCAAAGAGAGTCCAGATATGGACAGACTGCGTGAGTTCCTGGCAGTTTTATCTTCTAAGGAGGAAATTTTATTGGATTTGGACAAGAGCATAGAAGATGAAACGTCAATTGAAGACTTGGACACTGAGATAACGAACTCACAGGATTACACGGACCGGATTCTCATTTGGAAGGTTCGCACCACCAACGTTATTGGATTGCAGGAGACCGCTACAGACACCCTGAGAGCGCGTGTGAGTGACGTAAACAACGGCTCATTTTCATCACAATCCAAACAGACGGTTAAACTGCCCAAACTAACGATAATCAAGTATNCTAAAAACTCAGCATTACTTTCGTTCTGACTGGTGTTTATTCAGGATATTGGAATATTGTATTTAGAAAAAGAAACGTAAAAATACCAAAGTTAGTAACTATTAACATATTTTTATTGCACTGTATTTAAAAACAGTTTAAATAAATTAAAAAAAAAACATATTTTTAGTATTCCACTTCAATCAAACTTATAGAAAATCAATCTGAAAGTGAGGCAAAATGCATCTACCTCATATTTTCACTCATGGTCTCACAATAAAGTAACTTATTAAATATAAAACCCTTATTTTCCAAACAAACTAATGTAAAGATATTTTGCATGTTGAGAGGTTTAAACAACATTTAGTTAGCTACAGGTTTTAGCCATGATATAAAGAGGTGATAAATTCTTAAATATTTCAGGTTTAGAAAAAAATCTTCTAAACCTGAAACACATGTAAAGTAAACGCTTTTACTTTACAAGCTTTTTAAATTTGATCAGTTCTTGTTTAAAAAGTAAATCTAATCTTACCTGCAGAGAAAGAGAGAAACAGGATCAGAACTCCGTAAAGCTGCATTGTGAACTTGATCTGCGTATCGACCTTCTGAATCTATCTGGGTCCTACAGACGGTTTTTAACCATTTCTGGTTTCATGAAAGTTCCTACAGACCGCCTGTAATCTGAACAAACAGCCCACAGATGATATAATTTATGATTTCCAACTAATTCACTGCCAGGTACAAACCTGGCAGTGAATTAGTTGGAAATCATAAATTATAATATCAGGTTTGTGTTGCATTTTAGAACAAGTTAGCTGGATAACAAAAACAGACCAAAATAAAGTATTTAATATAAACTGCTATAAGTAACGACGTTTAAAACAAGAATTGCTGAGAGGACATGACTAAATAGGAGGAAACAAAAAAAGAGGAAGAAAGTAAAATAATTCTTTTATCACCCAAAAAAACAGTCATAGTGCAGTTTTAGTTTCAGTTTACATTGACAATGGCCAATATAGAAAAGTACTGAGTACAACAATGTGAGAGAAAACTGTGGATTAAACCAGAAAGATCCAGTCACCATTTTGGCAACAATAAATCAACAATAATCAATTTTAATGGATATAAAAATCATATTGTAATTCAGCCATGAATTACAATATGAAGTGTGTTGCTGTGGTGTTTTTCTCATTCATGTCTCCTTTGACTTTCTGGAGGATATGAATAGTGCTGGTTGTAATAATTAGGGCTTCAAATGTCACATTAATCAATTAATAAATGCTCTGGATCATTTATGCTGACTGGATCAAACTTTTGTTGAACTTCCTGGCAGCAGATAGAAAGTTAATCTTTGGAAGGAGTCCAGCATCTTGATTTGACAATTCC